TAATTTTGAGAAGGCATCACAAATAATACATGATTGCATCTTTTTCACCTGCTGCAACTGAAGACGCAGTGAAAAACCTCTCTGACGAGTATTCAGTTTTCTTTATGTTATTCTTTATTTCAAGGTTCTGTGAACGAAAAACCTCTCTGATGAGTTTTCTTTACGTTATTCTTTATTTCAAGGTTCTGTGAAGAACATCAGAACAACACTGTCTGTTTTCCTGTCTCAACACAAAACTTCACTTCTGGATTTAAGAATCCAAATGGAACCATTTGGCAGAAGGAAATCTGCTCAGATCAGGTATGTCCAAAGTCTGGCTCGGGGGCCAACTGCAGCCCATGATCGAATTCTATATGGTCCGCAGCCTCTGGCAGGAAACGCATCACATGACACACAAATTTCAGCTTCTTAGATTTTTTTTCCTGACACAGATTTTACTGAGAGACACAGTGATTTTAAATAAAAATATGCACTAATTTAATTTCAATAAAATAGTTCAAAAAATGTCAGGCAGAATGGTCAACCCTCACCAATGTTCCCTTTATCAGATCTTGCCCTCTTTTAAAAAAGAAATCAGAACTACTCAGAGTTTTATTCAGAGGGACGAAGATCAATCTAAATAATAGGACAATTGTATTTTAATAGAACAGAACAATCAACAGGCAATTCATAAGTATTTCGCAGGCTTGACGTCTCAGATGAACTGTGATCGACCACAACCTGCTCCACAGATGTTATTTACCTGATCCAGTCAACAACCAACCTCTGACATCTAATTGTCCAGATTGGGGCAGGGACGGAGTCCTAAATGGGACAAATGGTCCAGAGGCTGTGTGAAGGCAGTCATGTGTCAAACCCTGCCACGGCTGCTAAGAGGTTGGAGAGCCGCAGTGATTAAAGCAATGAATCACTTATGGCCAGGTCTCAGCTGCTGGTGTCACGCACACGAGATGACGATTCAGGCTGCAAGACTGGAGCCAAACTGGAGTGTGTGAGGGTGAAAAGTGTGTGAGAGAG